TCTTAATCAATGGCACCCATTTCATAAGATCCTATTAAGCTCAATTAGTGTGTGTATTAAGATTAATTAATGCACTTGGTTAAATGCAAGCCTAGATTAACTCAACAATCACACAATACCATGCAAGAAAGAGAGTATCAAAAGAGTTGCATAGAAACATATATGTAACCACATATATTGAAGCTCAAATTCAACATTAACTAATCCAATACACAAGATAATCATCCAGAATTGATTACAACCATAATCAAAATAGTTCAGCACAAATTTACAAATCCTAAGACCTAGAAATTCATAAATAGAGAACTAGAACTTATGGATGAAGCTAACTCCCCTTTGAAGCTCTTGGAACTCATGCTTCTTCCACCATATTCAAGAGCTGAGAAGCTTAGCTCATCATAGCTCTTGAATCAGCTCCAACTAGAGATTGTTCTTCAGCCATGACAGTAGCAGATGGAAGAAATGAAAATGGAGGATTAGGGTTTCTGAGGGGGAGATGAGAGAAGAAGATGATAGAAACGTAGGTGGAGGCTCAATAATGAGAGTCTGATCTCATCATACCCAAAATAGGGTTTCTAACCCGAAAATTACGTGCATGGGTCGGTTTCTGGAGATGGGTAGGTTAAAATTTCTCGAAATGGTCAGGTCTGAGATTTGCTGATACGAGAGGTTCGCCGCGGCGAAACATGGCAGAGAGCCTTGCTTCAACAGATGATTTTCGCCGCGGCGAAGTCAGATGTGTGCCGCGGCGAAATTAGGCAGAGGATCCTTTCCTGCTTCTTGTGCCTTGAGTTCTTCAATTCTGGCCCCAATCTTTAGTGTCCTACAATAAAAAAGCAACAAATTGAAGTATCAATTGTCCTAGAAATCAATTGAATCCAATTAATAACCAATTATGACAAATTAATCCTCAAAATGACGATAACTTAAAGTAAGGACTCTTAATCTAAATTAAGCACAATTAACATTAAAAAGGGCCAGAAAATACCACAAAATCATGGATAATGTAATGAAAAGATAAAAATATCTTAAGCTCAATGAAATGTGTATCAAACTCTCTTACAGAGTAAATGAATATTAAACACTGAAACTTAGTAAAAAAAAAACAGAGTGTTGAATGCAACAGTAAATTTCTCGACAGATGGTAGCTTACGTAATTAATACTTCAATCAATACCATTCACACCTTTTATAGTTAGAGAAGTTTAATTATCTGTTAGCCTGAAGAGCTTTTAACCGTTGGAAGATTATTTGCATGTTTTGGTAGTTATAATGGTAGTTTGTCATTAATGCTTCTGACACGATAGTTTAAAAGCTACTAAATAACCATTCAGCTTCATAATCCAAAAAAAAAAAAACTTTGATACAAGTAGGTTTTCTTTTTGAAGAAATTTTGTAAAGATATTAGAATAAGTGATGATCATTGATATTGATATAATAGTTTGGAGAGCATAGAATCAATCATCAGATATTTCAAATATAATCTGAACTTACTTGATCGATGTCTTGATCGATAAATGGTTGATCGATCAAGTTATGGATTAAATACTAGGAAAAAGAACTGAAACAGGTATATACATTTATCGAGTAGATTATGGATCAAACAATGATCGAATAGAATGTAATACCAACAGAATGTCCTCGGCAAGTGAAATACTTCTGTATTTTATGCAATGGTAATTTCTTCCATATTTGCATGCTTTCGTATCTTTATGAAAAGAATAATATGATTAAGAAAGGCTGAGAAAAGCTTAAAGACAAATTGGAAAAATTTTTATGATAAATCATCATGAAGAACTGTTTGAGTGATAAAATAAAGCTTTGATCGAACTGGTGATCAAAGAGTGTTTGATCGATCATATTATCGATTAAGCAAAGTTAGAGTGAATACCATTTTCAAACTATGGTGATTGAACACTTCTTCAATAAAGGGTTGATCAAACATATGATTGAAAAATTGCTTTAAGGAAATCTTTCACATTGAAGTACACAAAAGAGATGATGATCGAGTAAGTGATCAATTAATGATTAATCGATTAAGTGATTGATAAATGGTTGTTGAAATTTGTTTTTAGAAAATATTTGGAAAAAGACTTTTATCGATCATGTTATGTGAAAAGAAGATGCAAAGGTATGGATGATCGATCATTTTATCAACAAACAAACGATCAATTAGGTGATCTGAAATTAGCTCAAAACAGATATGTACAGTGAAGGTAGTTAATGATCGATTAATCATTGATCAATCAATTGATCAATTAAAGATCTTGATAGAATACTTAAACAGAACATATTATCGATAAACCAACAAGTTATCATGCAATGTTTGAATAGGTTATTGATTAAGGTCTAATCGATAAATGGTGAATTAAACAGAATATAAAATAAGTAGGAAGACTTTACCATTTATTTGTGTTCTTATTAATAACTAGTTGATCGATCAGGTGATCAATAAATGATTACTAAGATTCTGTGGCTTTTTCTGACAGTTGATTAGAACCTAAATTATCGATCAATTGATTGATAATTTTTTGCAAGCTTTTACATTAAACAGTGTTAATGATGATCGATCAATTGATTGATCAACTCATAAGTTTTGACTTATCTAACATGTTATCGATCAAACTTAGTGCTCAGTTACTAAAATACTGAGGCAGTTTATTTGATACGTGATTGATTAACTTTTGATCGATCAGGTGATTGATCAACTTACTAAACCATAACTTAACTTGTTATCATCAAAACCTTAAATCTAACAGAAAACATCCTAAGCTTTAAAAAAAAGTGGTAGATCACCTAAAATGGATGCGTGTGGTAAAAGTTATGATTGCTCAAATTTAGCGCAGAGAATATGGAAAACACTATTTTGATCAAATGAATAGTAAACTTCACACAATTAACTATACGCATTAGCAAGGGTTAAATCTATTTTTTTTTTCATGAACTGTTTGAACCATAATGCTTCTAAATACATACTAAAAGGGGTTTAAGGAAGGATTTTTCAATTTGTAAAGTCAAATTTGTATTTTTCCTTATCTGTACCCTCATCTAAATTTCCTTCTAGAATGCTTTCAGGCAGAGTACTCAGGATACCTTGAGTGGAAGTTAGTTGAGAGGCTTGTTCATTGTTCTTCCACCACTTTTGCCTTTGTTTCCATGAAGTAGAAGGTCCCATAGCTTGGTTAACAGCTCTTTGAATGTCTTTCTTAGTGAAGTCCAAATCAAACCCTGTCTCTAATCCTTTAGAAACTTTTAGAAGTTTAGAGGTAGACAGAGTTTTCCTCCTACTCTGTCTATATTGGGAGGAAGCTTGAGAAGATGGTTGACTTTCCTTGATCTTTAGTGCTCCTGACCTCTTCTAAAGGATGATCTTTATTATGTTTCCAAGCTTTAGGTTGATCATCCAAGGTTTATGAAATGTTTTCTTCTGATTTATTATTTTTAGAAAAGGAAGGTTGAGTAAGAGATTTGTTAAAATTCAATTTTTAAAAATATTGAACAATCTCATCATCATCTAGAGGCTTTGATGAAGACTCTACTTCAGTAAACAGAACATAAATGGATTCTTTAATAGTAAAAGTTCTTTTGTTAAATGCTCGATATGCCTTATTTCTGTTAGAATAACCAAGACATAAACCTTAACAAGATTTAGGATCAAATTTACCAATATTTTCTTTGTTGTTGTGGATGAAACATTTGTTGTAGAATATCTTTAGTGTAACATCCAAACTTTTGAGCCTAGAAGTATCAGAAATAGCCTGAATTGAATAGGCTACTAGATCCCTTTTGAGCAGAAGTTCCAAAGATGAGAAAAGAAGTCAAAGCAGTTTTAGGGACTAAACTGCAAAGTAAAAGTTTTCAAGGGCTCAAGTATAGTCAAGTTAGAGGCTCTAGTAAAGTCTCGAAGGCCCAAGGAGAGAAAAGAGGCTAGATACAAGCCAAAGGTTAAGTTAGAAACCTCAAAGAGAGGATTGTATGAAGCTAAGTCCAAGCAGGGACTAAACCGTAAATTCGAAAAGTTATGATCAACAGGGGTAAAAATGGAAGAGTATACAGAGAATTCCAAGAAAATCCTAGAAAATGGGAAATAATATTCTAAGGCTCTTCTGTGAAGAGAAAAGACGAAAGTACCCCTAAGGTAGCTTAAATGGAATTTATAAAGTTATGGCCAGTAAAAAAGTACACTATTTGAGGTAATTATTTAAAATAGCAAGAGACCTCAAAAATGTACACAAAAATAAGGTTAAATGGTTGAAAGGTTGTACTAATTTATAAAATTAGTTCCGCAACCAAAATACTAGCAGAATGGCTTTAATAAATTAAAAAACCGATTATGTCGATAAAAGGGTATTTTAGTAAATGAATTTTTATGCAAGGCTTGAAGGAAATGTTATGGCCTAAGAAAATTCATAGATATTCTCTAGAATTAAAAGGAATTTATGGAGTAGACAAAAGAATTTTTTGAGCTCCGGAAGACTATAAAGAAAGCCGGAGAAATGTGGGCCAAGTAAATTCGGAGGAAACTTAGGAAACAAGCTTGATCCAACGGCTAGGATTTAATCTCCCTTCTCCTCCATCACATTTGTGACACTTGGCATCTTCTGGAAGGATGAGATAAGGATGATACAAGAAGATGATGCAATGATGATGTAAAAGTCAACTTGAAGTTCCAAAATTGCCCTTACCCTTTCTATTAGCCACTAAGCAATGTTTTAAAAGCCGGACTGGAAGTCGAGCCGGAAAGAGCAGCGGGTCATGGTTCAAACGGTTGGAACGGTTGGACCGTTCAGTTGGACCGGTAAGATAATAATTAAATTAAAAATAGTGATATATAGTCTATAATATATACATATATAATGTTATAAACATAATTAGTACAATTTATAGTAAAATTAGCAAAGTCACTATATATGTTTTAAGTTTAACAAAATAAAATCATTGAAAGTAACAGCACCTCAACAATCTAACACTGAATGACATCTAAGTACTCAATACAATGCACTAAGACAAATGACTTGATGACTTATCAAATATTGAAGGATCTTGATTAAGCCAAGCATGAGTCTCCAAAAAGGCATCTGGGTTTGTAGCCTCTGCACTATGACTATCAATATCTTCCTGAGAAAATGACCCTAAATCAACACCTACTCCAACTTCAATTCCAAAGCATCCATCCTTAACTTGAGCCTTATTGCCCCTCTCTTCATAATTATCTTTATAAAACAGTTTGCAACAATCATATTATTGAAATTAGTAAAATGTATAACATAAATTTAAAAAAATAGAAAGATTAGAAAACATCTAACCTTCTTCACTGATGAAACCTTTTGGCATTGGTAGTGTTGTATCATCATAAATGATGTCTTCTTCGATCTCATCAGCACGAAGTGTTGAAAGCGGAGGAGAATCAACTTCTTCAGTTATCCAATATTCAATCTTATCAATACTTTCATAATCAATAGGGTCAAAAGTTTTGTTCTTGTTAACAACTCTAAAAAAAAATGACAATAACATAGTATTAGCATTTATATAATTAATTGTTTGAAAAATATAAATTCAAGTAAAATATAAAACTTGGAAAAATATACCTATTCCTCAAATGAAAATTGTAATGAACAAAGACAAGATCATTCAGCCTTTTATGCTCCAACCTATTCCTTTTCTTGGAGTGTATTCTTTCAAAGACACTCCAATTCCTTTCACAACCCGATGAAGATGTAGTTTGGCTTAACAATTGAATAGCTAACTTTTTCACATTTGGACAACTACCTCCAAAATATCGCCACCATTCATCTGTCATATCAAAAATAGAATATCATCAAATGATTAAGTCACAGGCTTAATGCCTAAGAATCAAGAATTATGACTCATCAAACTATCATCAAACATTAAAATATAAAACTTTACCAGGTCACATTGATTTTGCAGATTCAAGGGCCAAAGGATGATTGAAGCTACCACTTCTATTTTGGTATTGTGTGCCTTCTTGCAAGAACTTGGTCTTATTGGAAGCTATTTTCCTATTTATAACCATAAGATATCCATTCATAACCTCTGGCTTTTGAGAGAAGTTAGCCTGGTCATAAAGAAAAGCAAAATTTAAGACATAAGCTGCTGCGTGAAGATCTTGGCGAAGTTGTGTATCCCACCTTCTCTTAATAATTCTTGTATAGGGCTTGTATAAAGTTTTTTTTGCCCATGAAAGTACTCTTGATAGCTTTCCTTGCCCTATACATACCCTCATAGATATATCCAAGTGAAGGCCTATCATCAAAATCAACTATTCTCAACAATCAAACAAGTGGTTTTACAACTTCAACAATAATCTTACAATCATTCCAGAACTTGTTATCTAATATAATCATTGTTACATCTTTGGCTCTTTGATCTCTGTAGTATCTGGAATCTAAAAATGCCTTGCTAGTTACCAGGGCTTGTAAATCATGCTTGTGATCAAGAAGACTTTTTAATGTAATAAATGTAGTAGCAAATCGTGTTGGCCCTGGATGGATAATTTCTTTCCAACCTTCTCTTTTCCTCAGCCAGGCAAGCAAAAATGCATGATTGTAAATGAATTTTGAAACCTTTGAAGCTCTTGATGCCAAACTAGTAACAATACCCATTTTGCCAATGTCTGCTAAAATTAAATTTAAGCAATGGGCAACACATGGAGACCAATATATAGAAGGATGCTTGTCAGTTAATAACCTCCCAGCAGCTTTATAATTAGCTGCATTATCAGTTACCAAATGAACCACATTATCCACACCAACAAATGTAACCATTTCCAAGAATAAGTTACAAAGAGTTTGGGCATCCTTCACAATATCCGAGGCATCAACAGACTTAATGAACACAATCCCTCTAGGACAGTAAACAAGAAAATTAATCAATTGTCTATTTCTTTGATCTTGCCAACCATCAGTCATTATTGTGCAACCAGTTTCTGCCCAAAAGCCTCTACACTCATCAACTAACAATTGAACCTCCTTTTTCATATCTTGTAGTAATTTGGTTCTAAAAGCATGATAAGACGGCCCTTTATAACTAGGTCCAATAGCTGCAATAGCATCTATCATAGGCTGGAAGTAAGGAGAATTAACAGCATTAATTGGAATACAACAATCATAGAGCCACCTAGCCATAGCTAAGTCTGCTCTATGCACGGCTTCCTTACCTGCAAACACACTTCTAATTCCCGGTTGTGCACCTGGACTTGTCCTTGGGGCAAAGAATTTGTCTATTGGTGCAGATGGCTTGCTTTTCATAGCTTGAGATGGTCTTAAGCCAGAAGTTTGAATATTTTGCTGAGAAGAAGTTGGAGTAGGAGTTTGAATCTGTGTCGGAGGAACCTCTTGCAAATTTGGAGCATCCCCTTCAAATGGTGTGACACTAGGACCATAGGGATTGTCCTCCTCATATATATCTTGTTTCTTACCTTTCTTCTCTTCAATTTCTTTCAAATTTTCTCCCAACCGAAAGCAAACATCACCCGAAACTTTTTTACAACTTATTATATCTCCTTTTATTCCCGCAAGATGCTCTTTCATTCTATGTATCCCTCCACCTCCAAATTCCTTTGCACAATACAAAAATCTTAAGCGAGGTTTGCCACTTGGGTTTTTGCTAGCTACTTGAACACAATGTTCCCATGCAGGATCAGCCTTCGATCTCACAGATTGTATAGAGGGAGCATTACCAGATACTTCTTGTGGTTGGGATGACATCTTCTAATTTCTACAATACAAATACACAATAGTATCAATTAATTATAACTAGTAAACATATCTAGAGAGCATGTTAATTAAGAAAAGGATTTTGAATTTAAGCACTCAATTATTTAAACAATTAATTATAGTTCATGGAAATATAATTATAATTTATGGATCATGTAGGACTAAATATATAAGTATAGTCCAACAAATAAAATATGACAATAAAAAAGATAGCTAAATATTCAAATGCCGCATATTCGAATACCAAGCCAAAAAGATAACTAAAATATTAAGTCCCTGTCTCTCTGACTCTGTGCCCATAGCTAGGTCCCACAGTTTATTTTTATATTTCTTTCTAACTTCATTCCAAACTCAACAAAATCCTCTTGGTTACGTGCAAATGGAAACATATATACGTATATGACAGTTACAGGCTTCTGAATTGTTTTATCATATTCTTCAGTACATTCAACCTGGATTAAACGCATATTTAGGAGATAGATCACGATGTAGCTGAAGTAAACACAAGTTGGTCAGCTCGCTACGAAGAAAAATGGATCCTAACATGGATTCCTCGGTCACAGCTCAGAGCTCACTCAACACACACACACATATATATATATAAGCTTATACATCGATCAAAATCAAATAGTTACAGGCTTACAGCTTATTCAATATATATATAAGCATCAAACGCTATCTTCTCCATCAGTACTACTGGTAGTTGGCTTTGGTTTTGGCAAAATAAACAGAGCATAGGTTCATTGAAATAGTCGATTACTGATACAAAGCTGTTTAGAATCCAATGAGCAGAGAATGATTTACCTGTTTAGAATCCAAGAGATTTGAACTGTGATGACTTCAAATTTATGATCACCTCTGCCTTCAAGCCTCCACTTCTCTGACTTGGGTTTTTCCAACTCCTTCAAAGTGAGAACATGTGGACGCTGAATCAGAAATAACTTGATCGTGAATGTTGGCAGACGACGACGCGTATGAACAGAGCACGACGGAGCACGGTGGAGGACGACGGAGCACGGTGGAGGACGACGGAGGAAGAAGATGGAGAAGTAGTAGTGGGGACCTAGGGCACTCAAACTCACAAAGTTGGTCCTGCCACTCCCGCGTTCATGACGGAAAGGCCGAAAGTGCCAAGCAAAAAGTCAGAAATAGGGGTCCCTTGAAATCTTTTTTAAAAAAATTATTTTTTGTAATGTAATAAATATAAAATATATGGACTTTTGGCAGTTTTGGGCCTTTTTTTTTAAGGGAAAATGACAGATAAAGAAGGCTAAAATAATAAAATGCCAGAATGGGAAGCTAAGCAAATGTATTACCAGATAGGGAAGTGTTGCCTGATTTGGGATTATGCAAATGTTGCACAATTACAAAACAGCCCCTGTCAGTCAGCGTTTGAAAGCGGAGAGAGAGAAGGCGCGCGCGAACACTCCTGCACTGACCGTCGTGCTTCCCGGTTTCTCGCTTCCACCATCCCCATTGTTGCCCTAAAAACGCCGGCAAGCTGGACAGTTGAGGACCCCGAAATAGTGTGTGCGTAAGAGAGCAGAGGAGTTGGAAGTGGAAGGGCGTGCTGTTCGAAGGGCGAACGTGGTCGCGTCTGACTGATTGTGTGGAAAGACGAAGGTTGGCGCACGGTGATTCACCATTGCAGTTAACAAGCATCAACAGCATTTCAGTGAGGTAAGTTCAGGCATTTAAGTTTCGTGCTGTGGTCGACGTTTCTGGGTGAGTCTGGGAATCAATGATAGGGCAATATTTAGATATGACGCGATGAAGTTTGTGAATGACAGGAATGGCGATTAAGGGTTTATGCTGAGTCGCTATGGCAAGCTATTCTGTTTTTAATAACGTAGTTGAGAACTGGAAAAATGGGTTTTGAAATCAGTAGGAAAATTGTCTGATTGACTGGAAAAATTATATGAACAACTGGAAATGACAATAACATACTGGTAAATGACTATGATCGAACCTAAAATGACCATATTCATAGTAATGACCTTACTGTCTGAATGAGTGGAAAGATTATATGAATAAACTGGAAATGACAATACCAAACTGGTAAATGACTATGAAGGAACTTGAAATGACCATATTCATAGTAATGACCTTACTGTCAGACTGTAATGGCCATGTTGGTAATGACAATGAATTAAGTGGGAATGACCATATTCATATTAATGACCTAACTGTTAGTCTGTAATGGGCATATTGGTAATGACAATAAGTTAACTGGAAACGACCATATTCATACCGGCATCCTTACTGTCACTCTGTAATGGCCATATTGTAAATGACAATGAATTAATTGGAAATGACCATATTCATAGTACTGACCTAACTGTTAGTCTATAATGGGCATATTGGTAATGACAATAAATTAACTGGAAACGACCATATTCATACCAGCATCCTTACTGTCACTCTGTAATGGCCATATTGTAAATGACAATGAATTAATTGGAAATGACCATAACGAATCTGGAAAGAACTAGATGTGTAGTAAATGTATTAAAATTATGATTTAATGATGGTACCTTGATGACTTTGCAGAACTATACGAGATGGTGTTGGAAGAAGGGGAAGGGTCCACAAGCAAAGGAGTCCACAGTGGGCTTGTGTTGTTCAGAAGGGAGTATATGGCTAAACGAGGTGAGAAGTGTAAAAACGCAAGAGAAGAAAAAATTGAAGTGGGGAAGGCATGGAGGGCCCTGAGTGAAGAAGAGAAAGATAGGTATAATGAGAGGGCAAGGAAAACGAAGCCACAGAAAGGTGAGAAGAAGAAGTATGATGTTCCCTTGTACACCCGGTGCTCATTGCCCGGATTTCTATCATTGGCTGAATATGTGAAGAAGAACAGGCGGTTGAGGCAGAAAGTTCAGAGGATGGGATTTGGGAACTTGCTTAATGTGAATGTGAAGCAACTTCCACGTGATCTACTTGTGTCATTGTTGAGATGCTATGACCCACCAACGCATTTTTTGACCATTAGAGGGCAAGGGCAGGCAATTGAGGCAAAAGATGCGCATGAGTTTCTAGGTGTACCTGACAGTGGGGAGGAAGTGAAATCTGATGTTAGTGAGGATGACCCGGAATACAAGAGGTTGAAGGACACTTATTGGAAGGTTCCATTTACCCAGATACTGAAGAGGATATTATCTGGGGAAGAAAGCGACAATTTTGAGTTCCTATTTATGCTTTATACAGTTGGAGCTTTTCTATGTCCTGGGTCAAGCACAACTGTACATATACGTTTGTTGAAAGTGATGCGTCACACGATGAATGGGTTTTGGAAATATGATTGGTCAACGTACATAATCAAGAACCTGTGGAAGGAAATGGGAGACTTTGTGAAGATGACAAAGAAGAAGAAGAAAGGAACCTGCAATGTTGGAGGGTGTCTTTATTTGCTGCTGGTAAGTCAATATTTTTCTTATGGTTCACTATATTTTTGTCTTTTGTTATTGTTGCAGAAGTGTGACCTATCTTTATTTGGTTTTGCAGCTGTATTTTGTTGAGCGTTTCCCGCTGGGATTGTCTGTTGACCGGGGTTCAACAAGCGCCATTGAATATTGGACCGAGGAGAAGATAAAGGAGAGGGTGGAGAAAGAGAGAGGCAGCAGCATGGGAATATTGCATGGAAGCAGTGGCAGCGAGGTATACTCAGCAGGACATGAGGACAGTTCAATTTTGCAGTCTTTAGATCCGGTATGTGGGAACTTAGAAAATATACGTGACCTGAGTTTAAGTCAGTCTATTAGCAAGGTTGATACTTGAGATGACAAGACTTTATTTAGAAATGACCAGTGAGATACTGGCATTTGATAACAGTGAACAATTTTTTTGATATCTTCATTTACTGTGTATGCAGGCATTGAAGGAGTTGAGGGCTCGTTTTGTGAAGAAGCTTGAAGAAAGCCAGAGGACGTTAATGAAGGCTCTTGATGATGAGCTACTCAAATTGCAGATTGGATTGAACGCCAAAGTTAAGGGGATGGGGAATGAGAATGCCACTGCTAAAGAAGGGGTTGAAACAGTTGGTGATGCAGCTGGTAACGATGCTGAAGAAGCTGATGATGTTGACCGAGTGGTGGAGGAGATTGCAAGAGAGGTTGCAGCGGGAAGTGCAGATGAGGAACTTGATGAGGATGAAACCAGCAAAGGAGATGATGAGAAGGATGAGGATGAGGAACAACATGACCTTCATGACAGGGAAGTCAGTGATGATTACATGGTTGAGGAGGTGGAAGAAGAGGGTGACCGTGATGGTCATGGAGGTGATGACGACGACGACGAGGATGAGGAGGAAGATGACCATGATGACAGGGAAGGAGGTCATGTGGTTGATGAGGAGGAAGATGACCATGATGACATGGAAGTCAGTCATGATTATGTGGTTGAGGAGGCCGAAGATGATGATAAGGAGGTTCGGGATTCAGATGATGAGGGGGAGGAAGCTACACATGTACTGACAATGACCCCTACCAATGTTCCTTTGCTGTTGGATCGAGAATGGGTGAGCAGTGACAGTGGGGAGGAAGGAGGGCCTGAAAAATCGATTGACCTTCGGAGGTCAACAAGGGCAAAGAGTTCCACAATTAAATCTCCGTGGATAGAATTCAAGGCAGCTCCGAGGACGAAGAGGCCAAAGGAGGAAAGTGACATCTTTTTCACTTTAATATCCCGTAGACCCAAGGGAGAGGAAGAGGGGAATATGTAAGTATATCCGTAGCTAGTGTTTTGTTTTTAAATGACACAGTGTGCCCTGAAAATGACAGCAATAGGATTGAAAATGACAATAACATACATGGGAATGACAAGTATTGATGTCCCCAACACCATACTTTCTGTCACTGACATCTGACAATGTTTGCAGGACTGTCATCAAAATGTTTGATGAAGATATAGACCGACAACAGCTGTTTTCCCTGGGTGGAGTGAACAGAGTAAATAACAGGGTATTTAGAATGCTCTGTCCCTGCACCCACGATTAT